GGTTGCAGGTGTTTTATAATGAACCTTAAGGATAATATTTCGAAATTTCAGTCTAAGGTTGATGAAGGAATATTCTTGGGTTATTATCGTAATTCGGTTGCTTATAGAGTGTTGAATAAACAAACGAGAAAAGTAGAAGAAACGTTTAATCTCACTTTTGATGATTATTAAGTTAAAAGAGTTGAAAAACATTTTGATCAAAAACCGATTATTAATGAATCAAATGATGAATCTGACAATTTTACTTCATCAGATTTTGATTATGATTTAATTTTTGGTGTTCCTGATAGGGCTGTTGATGCTGAAGTTCATGCTTTAGATAATCAAATTCCTGAAGTTTCGAAACATTCTGATGATTCAACATTAACCTCTGAAAATCATCCTGATGGCGAAAGAATGCAAGATGCACATGTAGAGGGGGAGCACTTGGATTCGTCTTCTCATGTTGAGGGGGAGCATCCTTTCGAGGGGGGGAAAAGGAGAATGGATAATGATGTTGAGGGGGAGCATCATGTTGAGGGGGAGCAAAATAATCTAATAACGTCGAATAATGATCATAATGAAATTTTTCATGATTCTAATGACAATGTTTCTATTGTAGGATCTGAAAATGACGAAATGTTTGAAGATGCACCGTTATATTTTTATCCAGCATATCCACCGTTAGAAAAACGGATGAAGAATCATCCACAAGAGCAAGTGATTTGAAATCCACAAGATGGAGTTTTAACGAGAGCACAGATTCGTGCAAAGAATGAGGTACTTAATGCTCATCAAGAGTTTTGCATGTTTAATGTTTTTATCTCGAAAATTGAACCTAAGTCAGTTAACGATACAATGGGACACTCAGATTGGGTTGTTGCTATGCAATCTGAATTGGCTGAATTTGAAAGAAACAAAGTTTGGAGGTTAATTCCTAAGCCAAAAGATGTTTCGATTGTCGGATTAAAATGGATTTTCAAAAATAAAACCGACAAAGATGGTAATATTGTTCGAAATAAAGCTAGTCTTGTCGTAAAAGGTTATTCACAATAAGAAGGTATTGACTATGGGGAAACCTTTGCCCCTGTCGCAAGACTTGAGGTTGTTCAAATATTTTTAGTCTATGCAATACACAAGGACTTTGATGTAAATCAAATGGATGTCAAATGTGCATTTCTCAATGGAGAACTTGAAGAAACGGTTTATGTCGAACAACCTCCAGGATTTGTAAGTGAAGAATTTCCTAATCATCTTTATGTCTTAGATAAAGCTGTTTATGGGTTAAACCAAGAACCAAGAGCATGGTATGCAACTCTTACCAATTTCTTAAAACAGTCGAAATTTAAACAAGGATCAGTTGACCCCACATTATTTCGAAAGAAAGTTGGGAATCATCTAATGCTTGTTCAAATTTATGTCGATGATATTATTTTTGGCTCTACTGGCCCTGCTTTGTCTAGTGAATTTGAGAATTTGATGAAAAGCCAGTTCGAAATGAGTATGATGGGAAAAATTAACAATTTTCTCGGGCTAAATATTCATCAGAGCAGAGAGGGCATTTTCATAAATCAAGAAAAATATACGAAAAGTTTGCTCGAAAAGTTTGGAATGACAAATAGCACGAAGTTAAGAGTACCAATGGCTGTCGGAACAAGACTAACACCTTCGTTAGATACACCTGATGTTGATCTTACTGTATACAGAAGCGTGATAGGTTCGTTACTTTACCTCACGGCAAGTCGACCTGATATTATGTTCTATGTTTGTAATTATGCTAGGTATCAGTCAAATCCTCGAGAACCACATCTCACTACAGTTAAGAATATTTTTCGTTATCTCAAAGGCTCAATTTCGTTAGGATTGTGGTGTCCTTCGAAAACAGGATTCTTCATACAAGCCTTTTCAGATGCTGATTTAGGATGTTGTAATCTTGATAGGAAAAGCACAAGTGGTGGTTGTCAATTACTAGATGGGAAGTTAGTAAGCTGGCAATCGAAAAAACAAACATGTGTTTCGATTTTCACAACAGAAGTTGAATATGGTGCTGCTGCAGCTTGCACTTCACAAATCATATGGATTCAAAGTCAACTGCGTGATTATGCAATCAACATGAAGAAAATTACGTTGTATTGTGATTCACAAAGTGCAATACGCATTTGTCACAACCCTGTGCAACATTCGAAAACCAAGCACATTGCTCTTCGTTATCATTTTATAAAAGATCATGTGGAAGATGGAAATATTGAGGTACATTTTGTAAAACCATTGGATGAAAATTCATTTGTACGAATTTTGACAAGTTTGGGAATGATAAATGCAAGTTCTGTTCCAGGACGAAATTTGCAAGAATGACGAACTGATGATGAAAAAGTGTCGATTCAGAGGCAGAAAGATGTATTCAGAGGCTGATAGTATTAACCATTCAGAGGTTACTGTTCATATTAAGCGCTTCGACACGCTTCGTTTTCGTGAATCTGGATATGCAAATTTTCGTTAGTTTGGTACAATCTTTCCTTTACAATTTTCGTTAGTTTTATTTTCGAAAAATCTGAAAAACACAAAAATATTTTCGTTCTTTTGTTTTGTCTTTATTTCTTACGAAAAATCAAAAATTCATAAAGATTTTATTTGTGTTTTGTCTTTAAATTTTCGAAAAATCAAAAATCCAAAAGGAGTTTATTTTTGTTTTATCTTTACATTTTCGAAAAATCAAAAATACCAAAAAGATTTTACTTTTGTTGAGTCTTTTCTTTTTTTGAAAAATCAAAAACAACAAAAATATTTTTTATTTGATCTCATATTGTTTTTCTAGTTTTTGTTTTGTTGCAAATTTCCATGATGATCATGATTGGTTTATGCTTGCAGTTCTAGGGTCAGGTACTTTACGAAAACTTTAAACTAGTTAGGTTGTCCCTGGAAGCATGCTGCAGAATGTCGACCTAAGCCTCTTTTGACTCAATGTGTGTTTTGAAGCCTTAATGAAGTTGTCATCACGAAAATTTCTTCCCAATAAGGTTGTATTCACATTAGTCCATGAGCTACCTTACTCTTCTCATTGGAGTTAAGAGTTTACTGCATGGTCCATAAATAGCAGATGTACATAATGTTTCGAAAAACCAATCTTTTTCATCAAAAATTTCTTACACAAACACACACTATGACATATGTCCAAGAGATCTCTGGTCAAACCAATCAGGATTTAGACATATCAAACTTCTGTGTTAATGATTTAACATCATGAGACCGTGATGAAAGTGAAACCCAAAATATCGAACTCATTTAAGGAATTGACGAGGAACTACGTTCCATATTTTAACGAAACAATTGTTTCTGTACCATCTTTCGAAACTCCAAATCATATTCAATTCTTTTGAGTGATCTTGATCAAATATTCGAATCCCACGATGTTTGTTACCCAACAGGATCCAGCACAAATTTTTTTCTTGAATATGATTTCCGTATGAGTTTCATTAGCTTTCGAAGTTACTTTCTATATTTTTTTCCAAAGCATACTTGTCCCTGACTACACTGGTCATACAGGTAATTTCTGTTACAATTACTCACATTTATGTTAAGTGTTGACATGTAACGAAATCTTAAACCACCCAAAAAGCTTGTCAAAAAAAGGCCCTTCGATACTTCTCTACAAGTATTCGATTGTAATTCACGGGAAACCACACAAGCAACTGATTATCTCTCTTGATAATTAACGAAGTAATCTTTGTCCGGGATTTAATTGCCTTTATGTTGAAATTGTATTTTTCGACATCACAGATCCAAAATTTTCGTTAAAATTGCTTCTTATCTTATTTCATTGGCACACTGCACTCACGAAATCCTTGAGGCTCTGAGTATTACCAACTCAGGCTGAAGATTTCACAAGTATGGCATATGACATCGTTTTTAAACCCATAAACGAAAGAGCCCAACCTCAATGCCGAAGGTTTTTTTGGTATTGTTTTCATGGTACTCACGAACAGTATGATGTAACAGTTTGGTAACATGGCCTGGTTTTCAAGGTACTTTATCTAACATGGGGATTATAACGGCTAGTGGTGCGAGTTTCAAGGAAAGACGTGGCTTATACTTTACAAAAGTCGGTTGGAATTCAATTGGGGATACATATATAAAGGCAATTAATCATTCCTTTATACTTTACGCATTCTAAAGAAACTCAGACGAACAAAAAGCCCCAATTTTCTTCTGTTCATCAAAGATTTCAAATTTCATAATGGCTACCACTCAAACCACGACCTCTGACGAAGTTGGTTCTCAACCAATCATTGAAGATCCAAAGAACTAATTACCAGGTCGAGGGTAATGTTTCGTTGTACCCTGAAGAATTGCAGATGCTGATTGTTGCTCTTCAACATTCTGGGCTTGCTACTGCTATGCTCAATTCTTTTGCTGTTCCGATGACATGGCTATCTATGGCTGGTTCCACTGCTTCTTACAGCAAAGCCATGGACGTTATTACTTTCAATCTTGTTAATGACAAGAAGTTCAGACTCACGAAGAAGCTATTTACGAAGATTTTGGTAATCCCTAACTCACCTCCATTCTTTAAGCCTATCGATGCTCAAATTCTGCACATGTTTAGTGAGATGGGTCATCAGCCACCACTCACCAAGATCAGTGATTTCAAGAAATATGGTCTTCCTTGTATTTGGAATTTTCTATTTGGCATTTACCTTCGTTGCTTGACTGGACGAAGTTTAGGTCTTGATAAGGGGAGAATGGAAGTATACGCAATGGTTGCAGGAATCTACTATGATTTAAATGTGGATTATGCTACTTAAATGTGGAAGGAGTTCCTAAAAAGTGTTGACAACACGAATGTGGTACAGGGGATTTCGTGTGCTCGGTACTGGAGCTTAATACTTCAATATGTCTATGAGAAGGAAGGTATATCAGTTCCAGCTGATGAACCAACGGCTGAATTCTTGACATATCATTTTCCAAAGTCTGTGGAAGATGATCCTACAGTGTTTCCCAATGTTGCAAGGATTCCTGATGGGATGCTAAAGAAGATTGATCCATCGAATTCTGTTCCAGTTGCTTATTTGAAACAAATCAACCCTTCTGTTATTACTAGTGTTTTGTTGTCTCAAGAAGACACTGGTCCGTCCAAGAAATCGCAGAAAACCAAGAAGGAGGTTAAAGAAGGTGTTGACAAGAAAAGTCCAAAAAAAGGTAAATCTAAATCTCTGAAAAAGACTGCTGATAAGGAGACGGGGTCAAAGAAAGGTGAAAAGTCTGTGGAAAATGTTGTTGCTGAATCTTCGAAGGAATTAATCTCTTCGAAATCTGGGGTATTCAAGCGATTAAAGAAAATGTCTCATAAGTCCCAAACTTCCTTAGAAGATCAATCTCAACTTATTCGCAAAGCTCAATTGAATAGGAACGGGGTTAAAGTTTGTGAGATTCCAGATCCTGTTTCTCCTTCATCAAAGAAACGAAGAGTTGAAGACGTGGCGAAACATATTTCAAAGAAGATAAAGAAGAGGAAGTTGTTTCTTCAAAACGAATCTTCAGAAGACAACGAATAGGCTCCTAAAACTCCCGAAGTTATTCTTTCAAAGAAACTTTTGACTCTTGAGAAGACGCCAGTCATACCACCCGAGGATTCGTTAACCAAGTCATTTAATGAGGAGGTTCGAACCTCAGACATCACTACACACGTATCTGATACGGATGTAAATGTCAATATGGGTGAAGGAGATTCGAATAAAGGCATTCCAGTTTCATCTCAAGGTATTCCTGAAACCTCTTCAATCAAAACTTTAGTTTCTTTACCCCCATTTATCATTCCTGTTACTCAAACCACAAATTCACCTACCTTTGATCATGTTATCAATTATCCCTTCACATCTTTGTTCTCATCTCAATCCACTAACCCACCAAAACCACAATCCGATGATGAAACGGATGGAGGAGGTTTCGGAGGAACGTTTGAAGAATTCCATTTTGATTCTGAGGAAGAAGATATACCAGATCACATGTTGATGTCTGGAAAATAGTTCAAGATATGGAACAACAAGCTTAATTCGATAATTCAGTCTCAAGCCGATGCAGGGGGGAGACGTTATGTGTCTCGTCTTGAAATTGATGTGATGCTCAAAGCTCACGTAACTAGGCTGTCTAACAAACTTTCTGGTTTGATTCAAGAATCGGAATCTCGAATTCTTGAGAAAGTGGATCAGAATGACAAGAATAATGAGTTACGTGTCAAGTCTCAATCTTCGACGTTTAATGAAGAAGTCAAAGATTTTAAACGAATGACCAAAGAACGTCATGTGTTGTTTGTTAAAGATGTTAAGCAGGTTCGGGAAGATGTGAATTTTAAGCTTCAAGAACTTCGAGATGATATGGCAAAAGAGATAGCTGTGGTACAACAAGATTATGCATCTCTCAATCAAAAAATAGACATCATTGCTGATGTGGTGACCAAGTTTGTCAAGCAGTATGAAGCGTTGAGTCCTAAAATTACTCAACTATCTACTCAAGAAAGTACAAGCTTAGCTCAAATCACCACTATGTTGACTAAGTTAAAAGCTTTAATTTCGAAGTCTGGATCATCTCCTCTGATCACACAAGAATTTTTGTCTCAAAAGTTTACACTATTCGAAGCCATTCTTCATAAAAGTTGGCACCATTATCTCGAATTAGCAGTCTCTTACCAACGAATGCCCCACCTGTTGTTACAGGGGTGCAAGGGGGAGAAAGAATGAAGGTTGGTAAAGGAGAAAGTGCATCTGGTGTTGCAAGTGAAGAAATAAAGGTTGTTGGCAAATTCTTCACAACCCAAATTCCGAAATCAAAACCAAAACCAACTGCGTCGAATGCTGAGCCAGTAAGTTCGACTGTTGTTACTACAATGCCAATTACGAAAGGCATTGTAATTGGTTCAGCTGGTGAAGGGGGAAGTGTGTCATAACCAAAGGAAACTCCTGTGAATCAAAACAGAGGAAAGAAAATTATTGTTGAAAAGTCTAAAGAAGAAATAAAGGTTGAGGTGGAGGCTGAAATGGAGAGACAGAGACAAATAGCAAGTATTCTGAGGCAACGGAAAAATGATCCAAAGCATATGAATAAGGGAGATCCAAACAAACTTCATAGTTACAAGAATATCGAAGCCAGGGTGTCATATAACAAAATGTATGCATTCGAAAAGAAGCCACGAAAGAGTTATTTTATCAAAAATTCCGATATGAATCAACTTGATTTTCCGATTAACGAAATGATGTTCATCACTGCTCGATATAAAATCATCGAAAAGTTTCCAAATGAAGAAGATTTTCTTCATATGAAAATCAGATTTCATGCAGTTGTGGGAAAGGAACAAGAGGAAGTTTGGTCACTTGTGAAGATAAAAAGGGTGATAAGCATAACAAAGGACGTGATGTTTGAAAACGTGATACAAAACTTTCGTTATCATGTTGTGAGGGCAAACAACGTCTCGTGTGATTTTCAGTTGCTGATTTTCCCTTAATGAATCTGAGTGATTTGATTCAAGTTGCCCTAATTTTGAAAGATATGAATGCTTCTCAACTCCAAGGAACTGACAAGGAAATTTTGAGACTGGGATTGGATCACCTCAAAATTTTCATAGACAGTTATTATGATTGTCTAGCATTAACGGATGTGGAGTTAGCAACAGCTTTGGGAGAAGACGTGGATGTAGCTATGGAAGTTTCGAAGTCTCAAGCTGAATTGAAAAAGTATGCAGATACTGAAATATGTTTGAAACCCTTGGGGTTGGTGTTTTCGGGAAAGGATAAGAAAGGGAAAGCTAAAAGATTTTTATTCCAAGCTTCATAAATTGAAAGATATACAACTTCGCAATATACGAACTTCATTGTTCGTATGAACAATTGCAAGAAGAATAATGAAGGGGATAAAGTTGAGCTGAAGAGAACAATTACATGGTATTCGGAGATCAGACGGATGATGCATTTTGCTGCACAGATTCTCACAAACTGAGAAGTTTGACATGATTACAAAGGGGGAGATTGTAGAGTCAAATGTATTGTAATATGTCAAAGTCTGTGTAATAGATGTTCCGTTAGTGTCTTATGTATTTGCTAAGGCATCTTTTGTACGAAGCGTAATGTTTAGCCTTAGTATTTTTTGTACTTTCAGTCCTCCTATAAATAGGAGCTGGACTTAGAGTTTAGTCAAGAGAGTAGAAAGCTTTCCTCTCATTGATTATCTGTTTTGTACTCTTTGTTCATTGAAAGTAATAGAGCTGAAACCAGACCATATTTACATTCGGTGTTCATTACTTGTTTATTCTGATTTTGATTCTACTTCTCGATTACTCACTTCTACAACCTGAAACATAAAAGTTAAACTGTAAGCCAAAGCTTAGTGAGTTCCCCAACCACCAGAAAAATATATAATAACATGCATACTGGGCCGACAACCATCATACTAGATTACCCCTAAGCCCACAACATGAGTCTGGCTTGCCTTTCTAGCCCACAGCTCATGTCTGGATTGTTCCCAAGCCCACAACATAAGTCTGGCTTGCCTTTCTGGCCCACAGCTTATGTCTGACTTGCTCCCGAGTTTGTTGGCTTCTACACAGCGCAGTATTGCCTCAACCCAACCGCACTATGTCGACATATTCAATAGATAAACATGTAACTAGCAAACTGATAATCATGCAGATCTAACAGATCACAACAACATATCAACATCCTATATACTAGGATACATAACCGAATGGGCTGACATTGGTGCCTTCGACCCAAATGTACAGTGAGGAAACTCCCCTCATAGTCCAAAAAGATATCAGAAAAGAACGCTACTCTAAATGTCAACTCTACAGGTCACGTATACAGAAAACAGTGACCTAGACTCAATTCACATCTCAAAATACCCAAAATCACCTTAAGTCAAACTTGTTCAAAGGTCAAAAGTCAAAAAGTCAAAGATTCCTTCTAGGTTGTGTACACCCTGTCTACTCCCCTCTAAGCCCAGCATAGAGGGTGCCTTCACACACCATGGGCAGAAACCCTGGTCCGCGTAACGCACCTCCAGGTTACGCTGGGCATACCAGAGCTGAATCTCAACTTTTTCCATTAAGCTTTTATTTCGTTGAGACAAAGCACCAAACTTCAAATCCAGATATCAAGGGACGTCTTAATGGATAAAGTCTTTGACTTTATCCATTTGCATGTATTCAATAGCATAAAAACTCAAACCCTTGGTCTAAAAGTCACCCAAAACTCCCAAACTCTTGCATGGCTTAACGAGAGTGTCCAAGCCCTCATTTTTATGAATCTAGAAGCTCAAAAACTACAGGAAACTACATTTCAAGGACCTGGAGTAGCTGATACTCCATTAGACTAAACTATGGGATGAAAAATACATACAACCTCTAGACTAACAAGATCTAAGCAAATGACACATAAAGATCCAAGCTTTATACCTCCAAATGAAGCTTGAGGGAAAGATACTTTTAGATCCAAGATGCCTTGAGCTTCCAAGTTGATTCCACTTCTTTCTTATTCCTTCAAGATCACCAAAAACACACTTTCAAGCTAAAAATGCTCACATAATGGATTACGGTTTGCAAGGAACGATTTGGGAGATGGAGGCTGATGAGGGAAAATGTATTAGAAATATAATGATGCTTAAATAGGGCTCAACCCCTAAAAATTAGGGTTTGACTCTCAGCTACTTACACCCGACGTAAGTGTTGGAGTTGGTGTCTAAGCCCATAACTATAACTGGGATGTACTTGACCCGATTGTAGCATGGTCCTTTTGAGTTGCCTTCATCAGTGCAATTTGATAGGATGGACTTTTGAGAATAAGGTTATTTATAATTTATTAATATATTACAAGTATAATATATTAATATGAAATCATATTATTTAATTAGTATTGATCAAGAATTAATTTGGAATTAATTTTGCGATCAAAAGAGAAAAATTAAATATACGGGGATTGATTATGTAAATCAATGATTCTTATAGTGTGGGCCAATGATCCATGGTTATTTAGGATGGGCTAAACCAATGTGATAGTCCATGGATAGTTCATGGAGGTTTAACCCATGGAGCCTCAGTAATATGAAAGGTCATTAGGGTTTGCAAGGTGTAACCCTAGCATTAGCTACACTATAAAAGGACCTCCTTAGAACCAAAATCGATTACACCATCATTCTATGAGAGTGATATAGATTTTGTGCTAAGTAACTTATTCTCTCAAGCCTCCTCTTGCATTTGGTGTTTGTGACACATTAGAGGCATCACACTTGAGGTGCTCAAGCTTTCAAAGGCCAAGACCTACAAGTCCTACTAAGAGGTAAGTTATCAAACTAGTTGAATTGTTCAATTGTTAATTTGTATGCTAGTTAGGGTGTATGCTTTAGAAAATTGAAAAATGCATCTATAATTAGAGAAAACATAGATCCAAATCATCTAGGGTTGTATGTGCACCATAGGAGTGTTATAGTGCTCAAAACCCAACAGTGGTATCAGAGCCTAGGATTGTTTTATGTTATACTTTATGCTTATTGCTTTCCAAAGTTGAAAAAA